TCTTCTAGTTGAGCTGTGATCATCAAATCATTGAAGCCAGGTCAAGTGTGTATTATCTGCAAGTGTGGGTATTCTTGTGCATATGCCCTCTCTTCTTATTAGCTGGGCTCTTCACTCTCCTCTAATTGCCTTTAAAAAATTTTTTTTGTACACCTCAAACATCTTTATTTCACCCCTGTTATGCCATGAATTCATAGGGAATATGTTCCAGCAGCTCAGGCTCATCTTCATTGGTTCTCACAAAATGGCACTTTTCTATTTGGCTTCCTTCTTTTTCTGATTATTTTCCTTCAGTAGTTTCAGGAAGCTCTCTTGGCTCTTAGAGTGCTTAATAAGCTCAATGCACACATTAATTCTCTTGGCAAGAATCTTGTCCTTGACTTGCTTGTTCACAATGCCAACAGCATGCTGGGTCACATTGTAGACTCTTCCGGTTTTGCTATGGTAACATTTGTGGGGCATGCCATTTTTAACTGTGCCCATTCCCTTGATGTTCACAATATTGGCTTTCTTGTAGATTCGAATGTATGTGGCCACAGGAATGATCCCATGTTTTCTGAAAGGCCTGGAGAACATACAGCAGGTGCCCCGCTGCTTTCCCTTTGTTTGTCATTTTGGTGGATAACTGCAAGATGGCAGCTCTGGTTGAAAGCTCCAAAAAGCCTTTTGAAAATTTATTTATTCTAAAGCCATTCTGGGGAATCGTGGTGCGGTGCCATAGGAAAAGCACTCAATGTCAAGGTTGGCTTAACCTCAAGCCTGGCAGTTTGAACTCACCAGCCACTCCTTGTAAATCCTATTCAGAGTTGCTATGAGTCAGAACAGACTTGACAGCACTTAACAACAACAACAATGAAGGTATTCTGAAGGATTTCTTCTTCTGAATGATTGTATCCTTTACTTGATCCTTATTATTTTTTGTCTAGCAATATTATCTGTGTCTTCATGACTGCCTGATTTACACTTCCGAAATTGCTACCTCTTTAAGGATAATATTTTAGAATTTTAAATTTCTGTATCCCATACTTGAGCCCTGTTGTGGCACTGGACTGCTAACCTAAAGGTTGGTTCAAACCTACCAGCTGCTCTTGGAAACGCTGTACAGTGTCACTGTGAGTTGTAACCCATTTAATGGCACACAGCAACCCCATATGTATGAGGAAGGAACCCTGGTGGTATAGTAGAGTAAGTGTTGGGCTGCAAAGCACAAGGTAAGAAGTTCAAACTTACCAGATGCTCCCTGGGAGAAAGATAAGGCTGTTTGCTACCATAGAGTATTACAACATCAGAAATCCAAAGGAGCAGTTCTCCTCTGTCCTCTAGGGTCAGTGTGAGTTGGAATTGACACAATGGAAGTGGGTCTGGGTTTTGGTTTTATACATATGAAGATAAGTCAAAAAGTATTTCTACAAAATCATGGAACCCTGCATTAAACAAAACTATAAACATGTGAAGCTGTTGTTTCTTGACATATCCCCTATCTGGTGATTGTGTCCCTGGTTATGATTTATTCCATAAGAATCATTTTCATTAACTTCAGTTTTGCTTAAAAGATTTATGGAAGGTTCAGTTCTGTGAGCTAGCTGTTTTATCATGCAGTACTTTAAAAAAAAAAAAAAAAAAAAAAAAACTTTTTTTGTGAATTGGATAAAGCCTTACAGAGCAGATCAATTTTCTGTTCAACAATTCATACACATTTTTTTTTTTCATGTCATTGACTGCAATCCCCATAATGTAATATAACTCACCCCACTTCCACTTCTCCTTTCCTTACCTGTCTGTACTTTGCCCTTGGGTAAATACTGTTCTTTTTTATTTCAAGTGGATGCATCACTGTTTTTCAGTATTCTTTTTTTCAAGATACCCTAATGAGACTAAGACAACTGTGTTACTGAGAGAACTTGTCTGTAGTCATCCATTGATCACAGAGACATGTTTAAACACGTTTTGTTTGAAATAAATTCATGTATGTATAATCTGGAACCCAAGTAGAAATACTTTTTGACTTACCTTCCTACATACTGAACAAATAATTATTTATTGATGGACTTCAAAAATCCATGTTGTGAGTATGCTAACTCATTCCTACCTTCCTCTATAAAGTTTTCCATAAATTTGGCCAGGGAAACCTGAAGTGTTTCCACAGAATTTCTATGGCACATGCCAGGCATACATTTTGTTTTGACCTGTAAAACATATTGAGTCTGTGGAGGTATTTAGGTGTTGTATTTGTATAAATCTAATCTTCCTGAGATAAGTTTCTTGATGATGGTGATTATCTTTTACTTTTATATGAACCCAGATAAACCCTATTCCACCACCGACTTTATCTTTTGCAAACTATTATTATTCTATAGTAACCTCTACAAAAAGTTCACCTGCATCCTCAGTAATCAGAAGGACTCACTATACACTGGGAACCCAAATTCCAAGAATACCTCCAGGTTCCATATTTACTCGTCCTGGAATGGAAAATCCAGTGCTGACCTCTCCTGCTGAGGTGGTAGTTTCTGATTGCACAATATTGTATTCCCTTCCCAGGACTACAGGAAGCCAGACATTCTTTTGAGAAGTTCTTTGCCCACTGGAAACCCAGACTATTCATTTAGCAATTAGAACTGTCAGCGCAGCAAGCTGGCCAGCAAGAGAGGTGCTTCTATCCCTGAGGAGGGAGTCCTGGGTATAGAAAGGACAGAGCAGGTAGAACAGTGACTCCAATTTGTCACTTATCCAGAATTTATCTATTTGTATTTTTGATCCTGACAAGTAACGTATGTATTAATCTTACCAATACAAAGGGGAGGAAAGTTAGAATGTGTGGAAGGAGGCAAGAACTGGAATGGTCTCTGGGTCTCCATAGGGCTCAGACCTAAATGATGCTGCTACATTCATTCATTCAACACAGGAGATGCAGAAACAACAAAATGGAAATTTGAATTGTTGTTAAGTGCCGTTGAGTAGGTTCTGACCCATAGTGATCCTGTATTGGATTTCCAAGGAGCAGCTGGTGAGCCTGAACCGTCGACCTTGAAGTTCAAACTGACTTTGCAGTCTAGTGCGTTAGCCCACAGCGCCACATCAGGACTCCAGCTAAACAATAGACAGGCCTATAAAGTAAAAGTGTAGTGGTTATGCATTGGGCTGCTAACCTCAGGGTCAACAGTTTCAAACTACCAGCTGTTCTGCTTGAGAAAGGTGAGGCTTTCTGCTCCCATAAAGATTTACAGCCTTGGAAACCCTGTACAGGTTCGTTATGAGTCGGAACTGATTCCAAGTCACATAACCACCACCACCTTAAAGTAAACAGAAGTCCTGGTTTGGCAATGTGGGTTAAAGCACTGGACTGCAAAGTTGGTTTGAATCACAAGGTTGGCGGTTCAAGCTCACCAGCCACTCCTGGTGGCTGGTGTATAGGAAACCCTATGCAGGGTCGTTAAGGGTTGGAACTGACTCAAAGGCACTTAACAACAACCAAATAAAATAACAAGTCCTGGTGTGGCACTGTAGGTTAATACGCTGGACAGCAAAGTCAGTTTGAACTGCAAGGTTGATGGTTGAAATTCACCAGCCACTCCTCAGGGTCGCTATGAATCGACTTGATGTCACTTAACAACAATAAAAGGGAGGATTGTACTCCTTAGTACAATCAACCATATGGCAGCATTTGTCCAAAAACAAATCTCAGAAAGGTAGGCAAGGGCAGGAAAGAAGGATGGATAGAACTCACACTCGTGGCCCAAATTTCAGCCAAGCAATAGATACATATATAGAGGGGACAACAAAGTAGTAAGGTATGCTCACTATGGAATGGTCAACCATTCCATATTGAAAAGGTAACATTTACCTAAGGACAAAGTTGAGAAGGGTTGGGAAGGAGGGTGTAATAGAACTAAGAACCACAGGGAGGAAGTGGAATAACTGTTATTACATTGTTGTTGTCAAGTGCCGTCCAGTAGGTTGCGACTCATAGCAACCCTGTATAGGCAGGGACGAAACACGTATAAGATTTGTTGAATATAGAACTGATGATCTGCTCTGTAAACCTTCACTCAATTCACAATAAAACGTTTTGTTTTTTTAAATAAATAAAGTTCATATCTTGCCATCTAAATCAGGCTCGGGTGTAGATAGAGAAAGCTCCTCAGGTGCAGCTCCCTATCTGAAGACCTATAATGTAAATAGATAAACTATTCCCCTTCCTCCTAAGCCCCTCCTTCTCCCCCAAACCACACACCATACAATGGTGAGAGAACTAGGATAACTACAACAGACATTTGTATTCAAACAGAGAGAAGATGGGAGGCTCAGAGCAGTTACAGGTCTATAGAAATTCTGAAATCCATGAGATCACATGGCTCCAAGGTCTCTGCTTTGGAGGACAGCGAGTGTATATTTATTTACTTAGCCCAGTTCTGCTCATCTTGAGTAGTTCTCCTTGGTTCTTGGGTCCCTCTTTTGTGCTCCTGGTTCAGCCCTCTAAGCTATCCTTCTTTTTTTATAAGAAATAGACCATTTTACCTATAAATAGTTTGCTTATCCTGTTTCCTGCCTATAGAAGGTTGGGGGCCTAAGGGTTCTTTTCATTTGAACTATTTCTGTTTCTTTTGGTCCAAGCCCAAAACCCATTGCCTTACAGTGATTCCAACTCATAGAGCTCTTGTAGGACACAGTAGAATTGCTCCATAGGGTTTCCGAGGCTGTATATCTTTAAGGTGAGTCCTGGTATGGTGCTGTAAGATAAGCAATGGACTGCTAAATACCAGGTTGGTGCTCCAAACCTATCAGCCACTCCTCAGAAACCCTATACAGGGTCACTATGAGTATGAACAGATTCGGCAGCTCTTAACAACAACAGAGTTTTAAGGAAGTAGACTGGCTTATCTTTTTCCTGCAGAACAGATGGTGGGTTTGAGCCACTGACCTTTCCTTTAGCAACCTAATGCTTGACCCATGTTGCCACCAGGGCTCATACTTTTAGTTCAAGCTGACACAATTCTTTCAAAAACTTTCTGGGTTTATGTGTTAAATTATTGTTGTTGTTGTTAGGTGTCATCGAGTCAGTACCGACTTATAGCAACCCTATGCACAACAGAACAAAACACTGTCAGGTCCTGGGCCAACCTCACAATTGTTGCTCGCTTGAACCCATTGCTGCTGCCACTGTGCCAATTCATCTCATTGGGGGTCTTCCTCTTTTTCTCCGACCCTCCACTTTACCAAACATGATCTCCTTCTCCAGGGATTAGTCCCTCCTGATAATACGTCCTAAGTATGAGATGAAGTCTGGCCATTCTGGCTTCCAAGAAGCATTTTGGCTGTTCTTCTTTCAGCACAGATTGGTTTGTTCTTTTGGCAGCCTAAAGTATTTTTATTATTTTCCTCCAAACCATAACTCAAACGCATCAATTCTTCTATGATCTTCCTTATTCACTGTCCAACTTTCACATGCGTGCAAGGTTATTGAAAATACCATGGTTTGGGTCAGGAGCACCTTCGTTCTCAAACTGGAATCTTTGTTCTTGATCACTTGAAAGAGGTCTTGTGCAGCAGAGTTGCCTAATGTAACACATTATTTA